AATTGAGACCCTACTGCTGCTGTTGCGACAAAAATATAAACAAAAATTGCATGTGGGTAATACATGGTGTAATTTGACCCTCCAGAAAAACATGAATTCCATGTTTAACATACTGAGAATCAAAAGGACAAGAATAAATAATTGTTGTTTGAATAGAATGGCAAACAATAATTGATATAGCTGCTGCCTATTAAAATAGCTATAGTAGAATGAAATGGTACCATGCTAAAGTACAGATGGGACATACTGTGTTTAAATGATCTCCTGGGTAAAATATTATCTGAAAATAAAACTATAGCATTCTTCCAAATGACTCCCAATGTAATAGTCATTCCTTTTCATGGTTCTGTGGTTTGTGACTCTAGAGTTAGAAACATAATCTTAAGATCCTGATTGCCCTATCAACTCACTTTGATGCTCCTCTCTGACCTTTTAATCCTAATCAGCTAAACAATTTAGTACAGCTTACAACTTTATGATAACTGTCTTTTTTGTTTTGCTCTCTATTCTTCTACCACCCTTGTTCTAAATCATGCATGCCCAACTCATGGGCTGCATGTGGCTTTGGACAGCTACTTTCTGGCACCACAAGACACCCCCCCCCCAAAAAAAAATAAAGGAAAGTTGTTATTTATATACATTAGCTATGTTATATATTTCCTATGTGACCCCAAAAATTCCTCTTCACTCAGTGCAGCCCAGGCAAGCAAAAAAGTTTGATACTCCTGATCTAAATGATATTGGGGGCTAGGGGGGAGAGAAAATCCAAGTGATAAGCTTGTGAGGGAATGTTTTCTGACTTTGTTTTAAGCCAGTAAATCAAGAGCTTTTAACAGCCTAATCAAGACTGGTCCAAAACACTAGAGCAGACAGAATTAAAAAAAATTCAAATCTTTTATTAGAAATTCTTCAATTACATCTTAAAACAGGAACAAGCAATTGTTTGAAAGCAGACGCAGGAGAGCACTAGAGCTATATAAATAATTATTATTTTATCAGCAGGTTATAAATCTTGATACAGAGACAAAGGCTGGCTATTTATTTAGAGAGCAGCAAGATTTGAAGAGTTTGCTTGCCTTGTAATTATGCCTAGCACTCCAACATAGTCAAGAATATTTAGAGACAGGAAAGCCAAGTTCAAGATAAGTACATAGATTGAGTCAGTCTGAAAAGTAAGCCAAATGTCTGATCACAGGGAAAAGAGGCACTAATTGGAACAGGGTATTAGAGACACAGAAATATAGAAGCAGGAATGTAGTTTCCAATAGAGGGAATATCTGAAATTCACTGTTATGTAGGCAGTTCCTGGCTGTGTTAATCAAAGAAGTTAATGTCGCTTTCCCTCAAAGTCCTGGTCATCAGAATCAGCTGCCAACTGGGTTGAGTCAGACCCATCACTCTTAGGTGACTAACAGCCTGTTGCCTCTTGAACTTCAGGCCAACAGCTTGTTAAGATCTTTACTTCAGCTTCCAAAACAATGGAGCCAGAGGAGTCCATAAGACATGCCAAACAATATCAAAAAACCTTGCTTTTGTAGGTTTAATAAGAGTAAACAGCACACTGTCATTCATAGTTATTTAGATCAAAGCCATCTCTACCAAATAAATTTAGAATTAACATCTATTAACTTTCAACCATTTTGAGGCTTGCAAACAGCCATCATTGGCTAGACATGACACCATTTTCTAAGGCATCAGAGCACTTTGTATCTTAGCCCACAGCTAATTCTTTTGAAAATACATCATCTGTTGCCAGTTTGGGAGAGTTTTCCAAAATCCATCTTTAGTGGCCACCATCTGCTAAACATCTTAATAGTGAAAAATATGTTTGTAATTAGCCTGGTATTAAAGGATTTTAGTAAAAGTTAAATTAGACAAATGGGCTACTTTGCCAGAAGCATGCCATTGCATTTCATGCCTCAAAACTGATTTCATGCCAGTCCTTTGTAATATTAACATAGACAGCAGATGGATGACTAGTATATTTTCTCCACCTATGTGCATGCTCATAAAATTCAAATGGCACATACTTTAGATAAGGCAAGATTTTATTAAATTTTTATTTAAACTCTTTGGGCAGTTTACAATAAAATACACCCAAAGACATAATTTCAGTAAAAACATATGCAATAAAGCCAAACTAAATACAAAATGAAAACACTGTGCAAATTAAGCAACAGCAAGGTGATAATTCAAAACCAAAAATAATACAAATTAAAGGCATTTAAAAATATGATGCTCTAGGGTAGGAAATTCTATAAATGGAGTACCCCCACAAAAAGTTTTCCCCAACCCACCTCCCTTAATGCAAGCATAAGGAGAAAGGCCTCATTAAAAAATCAGGTAACATGGTCCTAAGCAACTTAATGCTTTAAAAATCAAAATAATTGCTGTGAACTGGATATGGAAATGGACACAGTCAATATGGATGAATGAAATGCTGACTTAATATATAAATAGTGGCCCTTTCTAATGAACCATCTTGCCTCCCTATTTTGAACTAACTAAAGTTTATGGACCACTTCAGCTCCAGATACAATGTATTCCTATAGTCTAATCAGAAAATCATCAGAATTAAGTATTGTGAAACAGTGGTGGGATTAAAAAAAAACAAACTACCAGTTCTATAGACGTGGCTTAGTGGGCGTGGTGTGGTGGGCGTGGCATGGTAGGCATGGCAGGGGAAAGATACTGCAAAAATCTCCATTCCCTCCTGATCAGCTGGGACTTGGGAAGCAGAGAATAGATGGGGGCGGGTCAGAGGTGGTATTTGGTTCTCTGAACTACTCAAAATTTCCACTGCCGGTTCTCCAGAACTGATCAGAACCTGCTGAATACCACCCCTGTTGTGAAATTATTTCTGTCCACATAAAGTTGCAGTTGGTAAATCAGTAATGGTTAAGTAATGGTGGTGAAAAAAAGCAAGGGGATTAAATGGGGCCCTGAGGGACTCCATAATGAAACAGCCTTGAAGCAGAATAGTAATCCTTCAGCACCACCTTCCGGAAACAATCATCTAACATATTTACTCTATAAAACACATTTAATACCAGCCAAATTGTTTAATGACAGAACAGAACATTAAATTTGCGGATGCCTCCAAAGCTAAGAAGGTTAGCTAGGAGGCTACCAGGAAAAAAAGGAAAGTAGATTGGACTGAGAAATTAAGAAGCACTCCAGAAGGCAGCTTTAAGAATAAATGAGTTTGTGTAATCCCAGGAATCAAGGATATCAAAAAGGAGGGGAAATGCTTTCTTCATGAGATATGACAATATTCTGCTACAGTTTCTCCTAATCCTTTTGAGCAATGTAGTTCTTTACTATTATATTTTGATTTAGACAACTCTTGAAGAGTATCACATGTTTTTAAATCTATGTATACATATAGATAGATAGAATTGTACTGAATTTCAAACTTGCTGAAATTCTTACATAATGCAACTCGTCCCTTATTATCTTTTAGATATAATTAAAATAATTCCTCAATGTATTCAACAGAATTTTTCAACCAATTTACTTCAGGGATTTCTTCCACCCACTTCCTCTGCACATCTGTGCTAATTTGCTGTTCTTCCCAAAGGCTAGCTAAAAGAGAGAGCAGAAAGACGCAAACATTTTCTCCCTAGTGGCCCAAAGGTCAGAAAGTGTATAGCTGGGCAGACCAGCCACTGAACACCCATCTAGGGCTGATCACCAGCTGGGAAATTGTGATAAAAGAGATGGTTCAGTGAACAGTTATAATTGGCTCCATTTGGAGGTCTGCTTGACAAGCTGTGCTAAAGCACAGCAGAGAGTCTTTGTGTGCTAGTCGGGAACTCCTGCTCTACGGAGCTCAGCTAGTGACCTATGAAGAAATACATTTTTCCTACCATCCGCCATTAAAATGATCAGCCCAGATCTAGTCATTCTGATGCACGAGTGGATCTCCAAAAGAGCAGGCCTAAGACTCTTCTTGACCTTAAGGGAAGCGCAAGATCCTTGCCTTTTTTGTTCTTGGAAAACTGTCTCAGCATTAAAGGGAGTTTAAAAAATGTTTATTTGAACATTCAAGACTCTGGTGCTGTGAGCTATTGTTAGTATGGACCCCTCGTGATGAAAGCTTAATGAATATTACCTGTTTCTACTACAAAGAAATGGGAGTGCCTGAAATCACACAACTTCCTAGGCTGTGAGTTCTGATCTCTGTGAACACTGAACATGGAAAGAAGGGTCAACAGAATCTCTTGGTTGTGAGGAATAACATTTTCCTGGTAATATATGAAGCAAAACTTTATAGTCAAGCTTTTGCTGACCATCTCCCCATAACCCCATTCCTTTCATTTACATCAGAGTTGGGGAATTATGGCCTTTTTATGACTGGCTCAGGAATTCTGGGACTTGAAGTCCACAAGTCATAAAGGGGCCATTGTTTCCCATCAGAGTTTGTGGCAGACACACCATGACTTTTGCTTGTGTGGCAAGCTTTCAGTGAAACAGCTACAGGCATTCTTATATACCATTTTATTATTATATTATAAGAGCTGTGATGGCGCAGTGGTTAGAATGAAGCATTACAGGCTAATTTTGCTGAGTGCCAACAGTTCGATTCTCACTAACTTAAGATTGACTCAGCCTTCCATCTCCCTAGATCAGTAAAAGGAGGACCCAGATTGTTAAGGGCAATATGCTGACTAGGTAAATTACTTGGAGAGGGCTGTAAAGCACTGTAAAGCTCTAGATATAACTCTAAATGCTATTGCTACTTATTTCTGAGTGACAAAAATATGTTCATAAATTAAGGGGGAGGGAATCCACCACTGCAGTAGACCCAGATAATCATTACAGATTGACCTATCCTGTGCAGATTATTATTTCTAGAATGTATCATTGTTTTAAACAGAACATATGCCATTTTCTTAACAAAATGGGGGAGGGTTAGCATTTGTCTTATAGGAACAACCCTCTGCCAAGCTTACTAATCACTTTGTCTGCACATCTAATATTGTCCCATTTTGTTTAAGCTGGCAGGATTCATCTACGCCTGTTATGTTGTGAAATGTATCACCGAAGAAGAGGACAGCTGTAAGTACTAAAGGTTTATTACGTGCGGATTGAAATCATTTTTATATCACCCATCTCGCTCATCCATTCCACTCTAATACCATTCTGAATACTTTGTCATGCTATAAAAGATAGGAATAAGTTAAAGTTTAGAAGCTTGCCTAACATATGGGCTCCTAAAAAGCTCCCAATTGTTTGAAGCCAATGGAGAGAATGGTAATATGCAGCTTTACAAAATAATTACTTTGTTCTGAAATCAAGCTGCGCAAATTCTCTCCCTCCAAACTTTCTTCACTAGCACAGCTCGTTTTGTTTCTCACTATGACTGATAACTACAACCTTACTAATGCTTTATCCTGTATGTAAACCTCTCATAATTGGCTATGGGATTTGTGGTGGCATTTGGCAAGGATAGATACAGTTTCATGGCAAAGAGATGAAGTAAAGGAGAGTCTGCTAACATCAAAAGAGAATGCAACATATATATATGAATGACTTTTTCTTGGTTTAACATGCCTGTACACCTAGTTGAATAACATGATTACCCATAGTTCAGTGGTTTTACTTTTACTTTTGATAAAGGCATAGGTGTGTGTGAATTATGATGCAGTTCAGAATTCAGTAATGTCACGGTCTGATTTGGATTTGAGTTTCTAAGGAAAGGGGCTTCCATTTAATCAATTCAGGATTTGTGATTCAATTTGATAAAAGATTCAGCAACATATTACAATGTGAAAACGTCAACTTGTCGACGATTGTTCCTGTTTTTTTCTTTGCCAGCCTTTTGTAAGTCACTAAAAATCTGCCTTTGCCATCAGTCCTAGGGCCCTGATAGTAAGGGTGAGCCCAATTTGTGGTTAGTTTGAATGTTTATGAGTATTCGCTGTTTCTATCCTATGCTTTTCCTGGGTTTTTCCCCCCAATGCTGTGTTCTTATTGCAAGAGCCAAGGTGGCGCAGTGGTTAAATGCAGCACTGCAGGCTACTGCTAGATCAGCAGTTCAGTGGTTCAAATCTCACCGGCTCAGGGTTGACTCAGCCTTCCATCCTTCCGAGGTGGGTAAAATGAGGACCCAGATTGTTGGGGGCAATNCCCTGCTCTATCTTGTCCTTTATTTTCTGCTTTCTAGCTCATCTCAATCGCGCAGCACAGCTGATCCCCCCCCAGCGGTTTTACTTACCGTTGCTGACTTAGAAGATAAGCAGCTGAGCTTCTAAATGCTGCATTTTCAGTGCTGCATGTGCATGAAGCGCACGCTCACTGGACTGATTGTTAAACTGGCAGCATCCCACCACTGAATGGAAGAAACGGCCTCCTGAAATTATGGATGCTCCACAACTGGAGACATTCAAGAAAAGACTAGTCATTTGTTTCCTGCACTAAAGATTCCTTCCCCGGGCAGGTGGTTGGACTAGGAGACTTCCAAAGTCTGTTCCAACGCTATGGATCATTTGATAAACTGCAGATTCTTTCTGAATAAATTGAGGTTCTTTTTCTCAGTGGTGAGACTTTAATTTGAATCCAGTCAGGATTAATTTACTCAAGCAGTTGTTTTCTGAGCAATCTTACTACACTTAATTAAGCTGTATGCCTGAGAAAGGTTGTTTACAACTTTAATAAAAATAAATATTTAACTATTAATAGTTTCAAGAACACATTGTATTTACACTTTATCTCTGAACAAAATAAATAAATGCAAAGAACAATAGCATGAAACTATTCAACAAGAGATTCCTTCCAATCTACAAAGGCAAAGGAATCTTATCATACTACATGTGTTAATTATCTCAGTAATGTCAGAATATCACACCTAACAACTGTCTTGTGAATGGCCCTGTCAAGTAGGTAATTATCACTCTCTGTGCCTTTTGTATTTTAATTCTGTTCGACCTCTTAATTATTCATTTCCACCCAAAACCTCTAAGCCTATACCAAATTAAAACTGTTAAAGATAAGGATATACAGAAATGATTCAGTACACCTCTGGATCATCCAAATTTAGCTGATTTACTCTAGAACATTTGGGATAATTCAGCTAACTCATTCCACAGAAAAATGTATCTCTACCTTCACAATTTTGCGTGGAAAAAAATATGGCTCTAAGACATGAAATGCACAAGAAAGGCAGAAATTTCAATAAAGGAGAACTGAATAATGTTTAACCACAAATTGGTATAGAAGATTTTGAGATTTTTGAGTCTGTGACTTTCATTCTTGGGGACAGAACTAGATGAAGTTTAAGAACAGGTGAATTGTTCATATATTGCAGATGCGGGTAGTCCTCAATTTACAACAAAAATTGGGACTAGAACCTCTGTTGCTAAATGATCCAGTTAAGTGAGTTGTAATCAATTTAACCCACTAAGACATTTTTGCCTTGATTGTTAAGAGAATCATGTCGTCATTCAGGGAATCTGTTTCTTCCCATTGATCTTGCTTGTCAAAAGCCCCTGTCAATGACACAATGGCAATCACATGACCCCAGAATGCTACATCTGTAACAAACATACATACATATATACGTACGTACATACATATGTGCGTGTGTATGTGTGTGTAGGTCTCCTTAATTTGTCTAGCAATTGTTCAAAGTTATGACAACTTTGGAAAAAAAGTGACTTAAGACTAATGCTCACACTTACAACTGTTGTAGCATCTCATGGTCCTGTGATTGTGATTTAGATGGTCAGCAACCATCACACATTTACGAAAGTCACACCATGTCACGTTCATGCAATCACTATTTGTGACCTTCCCAGACAATTAGCGCCAAGCAAAGTGAATGGGGAAGGAAGTGGCAAGCTGCAGCCATATGAATAATATAATTACAGCTTTGCTTAGCAACAAAGCTGCCTGTCCCAATTAGGATTGTTAAGTGAGAACTACTTGTAAACTTCAGATTAGATGCAAAGGAACTGATGAGTTACATCATAAGACTTTCATTCACACTTGGTGAGTGATTTGCTTCCTCTGCTCATTGGGAATTTCTCTTCCTCACCTTTTCTGCCAAGCTGGCACAGCACACTGTGCAAACCTGATAGCAGAGCCACACTGCAGATAATTCGTACTTCTCTGTTCACCCTTTTCTCCCTACTGATCCATTGCTGTGGCTCAGCAAAATAGCTTATGTCTTCAGGGAACACAGGGAGAAAAATGTAAATGATAAGGCATAATAAAATCTGGATGTCTCCATAGCGGTCATAAAAGTCAAGATGGCAGCGAGAACCATGCAATAAAAGTCATGCCTTCTTTTAATGTGTGTTGCAACACTGTGAAATAGAGGCTGGATCTCAATTGTTAGGTTGCAGTCATCATCTTGACCTTTCTGTGAATGCCCTTCTCCAAACCACGCTCTTAATTTGTCTGCTACACATTGGAGAGTGGTTTACCCTAATTCTGCCTGATTGTCCCCTTAAATGTTTTGTATGTTTCTCTAAACAATGAGTGGTGATTTCTATGGTACATATTTCTTACAGTAGCACTGTTCACACTGGGTAATCTATGAGGTCTCTTCTATCTCAATCCTATCCCTTTGAGATGTTTTTCAAGATGTAGACACCTTTAAAATATATGGACTTCAACTCTCAGAATTCCCCAGAGCTGAAGTCCACACATTTTAAAACTGACAAGATTGAAAAAAAAGTTAGCTGTGTGATGTTCCAGTTGTTATGGCCTGTAAAGCATTAGTGGGGAATTGGAGTCACTGCAATTTTATTTAAGAATTTTATTTTGTTTTATATAAGCCTTGTTATAAGTACTGCATTTTTCCCTCTCTTAGAAAAAATTCACTAAATATCTGTTTGAAGTATAAAATTGAACAAACTATGTCATTAATCTTATAAATCCTTAGATCAAAGACTTCCCTCAATTATAGTTTACAAGACAGTTAATACTATTCATATGCATAAACTTTCCAAAGAAATGATTACTTCAAAAATCTATCTCTGCTCGTCACCGTTTGGGAAGTGTACAGTAGTGCACTTCACTACAGATTTAGGATATAAAAAGATATTCTTCAACAAATTTGCTTAGAGTTTATATAGGGCAGTTTGCTGTATCTCATATCCAAAAATTATTTCAAATGTAATTTTAGCAACCAAAAAGCCCTTTATTGCATATGCACATACACACGCACACACACATAAACATTTGTGTGTGTAGCTATATACTATTTAAACTCTTCTTCCTATAACTTTTAACTGGGTAAAATGGTACATTATAAGACAACAATTCTTGAACCAAGGTACCTCAAATGGGATAACTTAACAGCATGCATTCCAAATCTGGGATCCATGATTCCTGAGGGACTGAAGTTTGGGAATCCTGTGAATGCTTTAGTGCTGCTGAGTGGCTGCTAGTGCTGCTACAGCATTGCTGGGCTGCCGCAGTCATGTGATGCTCATTTTGAATGTGCTGTGACAGTTTCCCAGCCACCCTCACAATCTGTGGCTCTCCCCTTCCCACCCCCGCAACCAGCACTAGAAGGGAAAGGAGGGGAAAATAGAAAGCAATGACACACATGCACATAGGTACGCACTTCTTAGCTTACACTGCCCCCATGCATAGTTACCTAACTATGTAGCACTTATTACACATCTCCACAAGCCAAAGAAGCAGAAGGAAAGAAGGAAGAAAAAGGCAGGCAGGCAGGAAGGAAGGAAAGAAGGAAGGAAGGAGGGAGGGTGGGTGGGTGGGTGGGTGAGGGAAACTGACAGGGAGTTGGAAGTTGTTTCTGCTCCCACTGTTTTTTTGCCCACCCACTTTTTTTTTGCCCACTCATGGTCATTCTGTTTTCTGTTTAGGATAAGGAAATATTTCTGAAATTATGATCTGGCTTGTAAAATAGTTTACACATATTTGAGGATTATGTATTTCCATTTATCCAACCTTCAGGAGCTGACAAAATAATCTAAAATTGTTTCTTTATTTGAAAAGGAACATTCCCTTCATCAGCTTTAAATGTTAGTTTAAAGCAGTTTATAACAATAAATTTTACATTAAATCAGTTAATTCTTCTCAAA